TAGATACATATTTATAAATGCACGTATTATAAATGTATAAATACATTTCTCTTATTTAATACAGAGTTGTGGTTCCTGACCATTCTTCATTCTTCTGCTTAACTTTAAGAAAGCTAGGCATGTAGGGATGGCTGGCTGGCCATTTAGTTGTCTGCTTTGTCTTTTCCACCTAAGATTGATTTGTTTTTCAGTCAGAGATGACTAAGAACTCAAGTTTCTTTTGATTAAAGTTAAAACATAGGAATTCTGTAATCTTGGAGCTTAAAATTTTAAGTATACACAAAGTAAGATATGCAAATACTGTGAGAAACAAGTGGGTCCTCTGAATAAATAAACATTTATACGATGTCCAGAGTGTAGTGTTCAAGCCAAGGGTGAAAGTGAGCAGGGAACTTGATTAGGAGAGTAGTGTTGTCTCTCACTTAAGGCCATTTTTTAGAGGTGAGCATTTTGATGTTCTTCTGTTTTTTAATAAGAGGAGGGAGAATTTCAGAGCTGAAAAAAGTGGGTTAAGGGAGGGGAGAATAAACAGTGAGAATATGAAGTTAGGAGTGAGGGAATGGAGGAATGAATTGAACCAAAAATGGGGAAAATAGATCATCCTGGTAGTTTTTGCTTGTGTTCTTTTAGCTGAATTACTGTCATGCTGGTGGTGACTGGGAGCCAATTACGAGGTTTCTGGGAAAAAGAAAGTGATTGTGAAGAGCAGGGTAAATCCTGATTTAAGCAACTACATGTAATTAATGAGAGAGTAGGGCTTGAGGTTGGAGACAATGATATACTACTGTTCTTGGAGAATTTAGATAATTTAAACAGACCTATTTGTGTAAAAGTACTATTCCTATTTTAAAAATGAAAATGTCTTTATGTATGAAGAATGAATTATTTTGTGTCCTGTTAAACATTGTTGGGTACTGCTAGGCTTATTGTAATTTTTTTTCCTCCAGGGTTTGGATTCAGGGTTTGTTCCTACTGTCCAAGACTTTGATAAAAAACTTACAGAGGCTGATGCTTACCTACAAATCTTGATAGAACAATTAAAGGTATGACATTAGTTTATTTATTGAATTGGTAGAAACTAGTAAGTGTTACTAGGCATGATTTTGAGAAAAAGTTACTTGATGTTAATTTAAAGCCATCATGTGATTCTTGAGCAATTTTTAAAAATGATTTATTAAAAAAACTTAATTCTAATTGTATTGGTAAATGGCATGTTACATAATGCACTTTTTTGGTTCTTAAGGAAAAGGTAAATAGACATAATTAGGAGACATTAAAGCAAGATTAAATTGATACTCTGATTCAAATTTCTGTGAAACTGCTAAGTTTCAGTGGCTCAGTTTCTAGGACTTGTTTTTATATTTTGCAGAAGGAGTAGAAGAGGGTATCTTCTCCACCTCTTTTATCATTACTGAAATAAATGGTCTCCTTCAGTTCCTACTCTAAAATTAATTAAAAAGCAGAAGTTCTGGGAAAAAAAGTGTTGATAAAAGTTGAAAGTCAAAACAAAAAATCCTTCGAGTTTGAATTGGTGTTTTAGGTTCTTTTGCTTGAAATTCAACCTGAGTGATTGAGCTTGCCTATTTAGGGTCACACATACAATACAATTTGACTCAATCTAGTTCCTTGAAAAAATATATGCTGCCTTGAAAATTCACATAAGTCATACCAGGAGGAAATGTGTTTAAGAACTAAAGTTTAATTTTCTTTATTTTTAGTAAATGTACAGAATGTAAAGTGGCTTGATTCTATAACCTGTTTTTTTTTTTTTTAACCTTGTAGCTTTTTGATGACAAGCTTCAAAGCTGCAAAGATGATGAACAGAGAAAGGTAACTTATATAACCATGATTTTGAAATTTTTATATGTAATTTCCTATTTGTAAGTAAGTTCTTTTCACATATCACAAGTTAAAGACAGAAAGCTATTTTTGTAAATTAAAGTGGATCATTTCAAATATTAATAAACCAATTAGCCAAGAATTTTCAAAATAAATCAGAGACATTTGAGGAAACGAGTGGTGGGTTAACTTCAGTTCTCCTCTAACTGCCTCTTGAATTTTTGACATCTGCTTTGAAGTTTGCATATTATTTTCTTTCTTCCAGTTAACATTTTATTTTCTATCTTGGTTAGATTTCTTAATGCAGCATTATTTTTTGCTTTTCTGTTTACTATAGCCTTGTATTTGGCTCATTTATACTTAGTTGTGTTCTAACACACTCTTCATTCTTAATTTTGGAATTTATCCCTATATCACTTTTAAACAACTTAGAAAAGATTAAGTGTTACTAAAATAAACATTCTTATCACATAGTAAAAATTAATAGAAAAAACAAAGCTTGTTTTCAAGTAAGGAATAGAATGTTCTATATTCTTACAAATTTTCAATCATACCAGTTTTGTTTAAGAAGGTTTAATCCATAAAATGTCAAATTTTTATTTTTATTTATTTTAAATTTATTTTTAAAAGATTTATTTTATTTATTTGAAAGAGGGAGTTACAGAGAGTGGCAGAGACAAAGAGAGAGGTCTTCCATCTGCTGGTTCACTCCCCAGATGGCCACAATGGCTGGAGCTGTGCTGATCTGAAGCCAGGAGCTTCTTCCAGGTCTCCCAAGGAGTGCAGGGGCCCGAGGACTTGGGCTGTCTTCGACGGCTTTCCCAGGCCATAGCAGAGAGGAACAGCCGGGACTAGAACTGGTGCCTAATGGGATGCTGGCGCTTCAGGCCAGGGCTTTATAATCTGCTGCGCCACAGCGCTGGCCCCTATTTATTTTTCTAAAGATTTATTTATTTGTTTGAAAGGCCAAATTAGGGAGAGAAAGAGACCAAGAGAAATTTCCCCATTTGCTGGTTCACTCTCCAAATGGCTGCAACTTCCAGGATTAGTCTGTTTCGAAGCCAGGAACCCATCCAGGTCTCCTGCATGGCTGTCAGGGGCCCAAACACTTGGGCAATCTTCCACTGCCTTCCCAGGCACATTAACAGTCAGGACCTGAAAATACACTCATATGGGATGCCAACATCACAGGAGGTAACTTAACCTGCTACACCTCTATGCCAGCCCATGGGATTTTTATTTAAATATTTGATTTCGGTTTTTTAAAAATATATAATATAATAAGAAGCATTCCATTCCCAATCTGCTTGTACTCATTTAAAATACTGAGTACATTTTGGTAAAATTCTTTAAATTGCTAATCAGTAACAACAAAGCAAAATCAACTGTGATATGTCTTTGTGCTTCTGACTGTCTTTTAAATTTGCTGTTTTTCACAGAAAGTTGAAACTCTCAAAGAGACAACAAATGTAAGTTATGTGTTTGACAAACTTTGCTTTAAAATGTTATTTTTATTTTCAGCCACTATTGATAATAACAATTCAGATTTAATGGGAGTGTTAAAGAATTGTATTATTTTCCAAAGGAATTTGAATTATCTCTGTGATTGAAATTGACTTCATATCTATTCTAGTTTTGCCTGTCTGAGATCCTTGGATAAAAGTTGTTTTCCACGCACAAGTTGAATATCTCTTATCTGAAATGTTGGGGATCAGAAGTGTTTCTCATTTCAGGCTTTGTCATATTTACAAATACATAATGAGGTATCTTTGGGAAGTGGGCCCAAGTCTAACCATGAAATTCAATTATGACTTACATACACTCTATACACACAGCCTGAAGATAATTTTATATAGTATTTTTAGTGCACCTGCCTTTTGGCTGTGATCTATCATGTGAGGTCAAGTGTAATTTTGCACTTTAAAAGTCATGTTGGTGTCCAGAAATTTCAGATTTTGGAGCATTTTACATTTTGGATTTTTGGATTAGGGATACTCAACTTGGATATGTTCTCTTTCTTCTAATTAAAATCTATTGTGATGCAAATTTTCTGATATATTGGCCTTCTGACATATAAGGTTACTGAGATTTGTATCTTGAAAAAGTATTTATATTTTAAGTATTTATTTTTTTGATATCATATGATCATTTTATTTGGGCCAAGATCCTAAAATCAGTGTTTTGTTTTCATAGAGCATGGTAGAATCAATTAAACACTGCATTGTGTTGCTGCAGATTGCTAAAGTAAGTAAATTTGTTTTTGATTAACTTCATGTAATGAGATTTAAAAACCATGATGGCACTTTTCTTTAATGGCCAAAATCCCAGTTCTGAAACATATGGGTATTACCTTTCTACAGTAAACTATTATGGGTTCTTGCTGCTATGGAACATCTATTATGTTTGGATGTTAGCTTATCTACATATGCTTGTTTTCTGGTAACATAATTTCTGGTGGTGGCTGGGAAGGAAGGGAGCATGTTTGAATGACTCACCCCTTCCTTCCATTTTATCCATTATTGCTGCTTGGAGCAGACATCTTTTGTAAACCTCTTACAAACAAATTTTCCTTAGAAAATAAGGGAAAGTTTGGCAGTATTTTTCGTATCCATAATGACAAATATAATAGAGATACATGTTTTTTTAAATTGCATTGTCGTAGATGTTTTCTGATACTGAACTACATTAATGAACCATAAGTGCTGTTTTTTATTCATGAAACAATATATTTGTTAATTATTGTGGGTTTTAAACTTCATGCATATTGTCTAATTTTCTGGAAATCTTTTACATGTTACACCTAAATATAAAATTTTTGTCTGAAATTGTTGGAAACAAGAACTTTACTGTTGGAGAGTAAGAATTTTAAAAAAACTTTTCTCATTATTCTTACCTGACCATGTCCCTGTATTTAGCCAGTAGCTAAAAGGAGGTTAGGGGATAGCAAAGAATCCAAAGTTTAGAAATGATGTTTCTGTTTTTAATTATTGGTCTGTTTTACTTATTCAATCACATAGATTTGTTTACTCAACCATAGAGACATTTTATATAGTACTGTTAATGACATAATGGCATAGGACAGTCCATTTGTGTTTGGATAGTGAATATATTAGCTTATAAGCTAAAGGCAGTATTATTTTCTTTGGAGGCCACATTTGTTGTATTTACACTGTCTGAAGTTAAAGCTTGTGTTAACTTTCTAATATTATTCTTGATCATTATTCCTGATTTCCTATCAGGTATTTAAATTTTTATCTACTTTTAGGGATCAGATTATATTTTAAAGCTAAGAAGAGGAGGATGATAGGGTTGGAGGCATGAAAGGGCCAAGGCTTTTGGTTTAGTTTTTCTTGGCCGTGAAGTTACATTGGCAAATAGAAGGCATCTACAGTTACCCAAAAGCCTATATATAGAAAATCAGTAAACTACACCATGCCTGGTGTGAGTGAGTACATATTGTAAGGCATCCATACCACCTTCTCTAGAAGATGGAGAAAGTAGAAGAACCCATATACAATGTTTCAGACTGTTTGGGTGACCTGTGAACATCACATTCTAATAGCTGTACAGAAAGGTAGTCTTACCTATTTCAGTAGCTCACCTCTTAGCCACTCATCAAGAACTGTCCCTGAAATGTGTTACAGTTCAAGTTATTAAAGCTGTTTTCTGTAACTTTTTAAGGTCCTTTAGAATGAGTAATCCAGATCAAGTAAAAACATTTTCCTTTTTATTTATTCTAGAAGGAAGTTTTGTTATGCTTTTTGTGTATACATACAACACTCAAATTATATTTGTACCTCATGAGTTCTATTTGAAACTTTAAACCAAATATAAATATAAATCAGACCACATCTGTTGCCTGCTTAAATCCTGCAGTGTGTTTTCATCTCTTGGAAATGAATCTAAACTACTTTTCATAGCTGAAGTCGTTGAAGCCATCACTGCTGTCTCGTCTCATCTCTTGTCCTTGCTGGACCATGCCATTCAATAACATTGCCTATTTTGTTTTTCTAAGATAAGCCAAGCTTTTTTTCTGCATTAGGGATTTTTTTTTACTTGTTTTTCCGTCCACTTAGAGGGTGTTTCCCAGAGATTTCTACCAGACTCACTCTCCTACTTTATTTAAATTTCTAATACAAGAGTCATATTTGGAAAGAACTTTCTGACTGCTTTACCCAGAATAACCCCTACTTCTCACTAATTTTTCTTCCTTGCCTTGTATCATTATCCAGATTTACATGACACATTCATTTATTTGTCTATTTATTCTCTATATTATAGGATAATCTCTAGGAGGACTTTGTCTTAACACTTATTCGGTGTGTGTGGGCTGCCATAATAAAATGTCATAGACTAGGCAGCTTAAACAACAGACATTTATTTTCTCACAATTCTAGAGGCTGGGAAGTCCAAGATAAAGGTTCTGCCTTGAGACGGGCCCTCTTCCAGCCTGTGTACAGCAAATTCTGCCTTTTTCCTTCATGTAGCCTTTCCTTAGTACATGTGCACACAGAGCAATTAAATGCTCTGGTGTCTTTTCTAATAGGTTTGCTAGTCCTATTGAGTCAGGGATCTACCCTTTTCAGCTTCTTCAACCCAGTTTCTTTTTTATAGGCCCATGTCCAGATAGAGCCACCTTGGGGATTAGGGCTTCAGTGTGTGAGTTTTGGGGGAACATACCCTTTAGTCTATGAAACAACTGTATCCTCAAGTCCCTGCAGCAGTTGCTTGCCAGCTAGTAGGGGTCTGATAAATGTGAGTTTCTGAATGTTTTTTCTAATGCATAATTTCTAATGGTTGCATGCTGTAGTATTTTCACTGTAGGTATGGTTTTTCTCATTAGCCACCTCTGTTGTGTCGTGGTGATTATCCTTACAAGTAAAATGCTAGGTAAATCTGATCAGTTCATTAATCTGTGTTTAAGATAGAGGGTGAGAAATGGCATTGCATTATCTTGAAGAGTATGGACTCTGCAGGCAAACTGGGTTTGAATCCCAACTGTACCACTTCAGCAAGTTTATTTATCCTCTCTGTCCTTTGCTTTATTCAATAGAAAATAGGAGTAATAGTCAGCTTTTTTTACTACAATGAAATACCAGAGGCAACTAATTTGATATGAGTAAAATTTTCTAGGAACCACTTTTTTAAAAATTTTTATTTATTTATTTATTTGACAGGCAGAGTGGACAGAGAGAGAGACAGAGAGAAAGGTCTTCCTTTTCCGTTGGTTCCCTCTCCAATGGCCGCTGCGGCAGGCGCGCCATGCTGATCTGAAGCCAGGAGCTAGGTGCTTCTCCTGGTCTCCCATGCGGGTGCAGGGCCCAAGCACTTGGGCCATCCTCCACTGCACTTCCGGGCCATAGCAGAGAGCTGGACAGGAAGAGGATCGACCGGGACAGAATCCGGCGCCCTGACCGGGACTAGAACCCAGTGTGCCGGCGCCACAGGCGGAGGATTAGCCTATTGAGCCGCGGCGCCGTCCTCTAGTAACCACTTTTTAAAAGGTAAAAAGAAGGGGCCACCACTGAGGCGTAGTAGGTTAAGCCTCCTCTTGCAGTGCCAGCATCCCATAAGGGTACCTCTTTAAGTCCCAGCTGATATACTTCCAGTCTACCTCCTTGCTGATGGCTTGTGGAAGATGGCCGAAGTCCTTGGGCCCCTGCACCTGCCTGGGAAACCCAGAAGAACTCCTGGCTTTGGATTGGCCCAGCTCCAGCTGTTGCACCCATTTGGGGAGTGAAGCAGCAGATGGAAAATCTCTCTCTCTCTCTCTCTCTTTCTATATATATATATATATATATATATATATATATATATATATTAAATCTCCCTCTATCTGTAATTCTGCCTCTCCAATAAAGAAGTCAATGGGTGTGTCATGTCCTGAGTGCCACACAATTTAAAAAAAAATAAAAAGGCCGGCGCCGTGGCTCACTAGGCTAATCCTCCGCCTTGTGGCACCGGCACACCAGATTCTAGTTCCGGTCAGGGCACCGGATTCTGTTCCAGTTGCCCCTCTTCCAGGCCAGCTCTCTGCTGTGGCCAGAGAGTGCAGTGGAGGATGGCCCAAGTGCTTCGGCCCTGCACCCCATGGGAGACCAGGAAAAGCACCTGGCTCCTGGCTCCTGCCATCGGATCAGCGCGGTGCGCTGGCTGTGGCGGCCATTGAAGGGTGAACCAACAGCAAAGGAAGACCTTTCTCTCTGTCTCTCTCTCTCACAGTCCACTCTGTCTGTCAAAAAAATAAAATAAGAAGAGAACTGCTTTAAAAAAAAAAGATAAAAAGAAACAGATGAAATTAATTTCAAGAATGTATTGACTCTGTATACCTTAAATGTAATCAATGTGTGATCCATACAAATATGGACAATTAGCTCTGTCTGCACCAAGTCTTCAAAATCTTGGGTGTATTTTACAGTTTATACTGTGAATCAGCACATTTGAATGCTTAATAACAACTTGGTAACTAATGTTACTGATGGTTACCAAACTGATAGCTACTTTAAAGTAGATTTTATATTGAAGTTTTCCTTGGATCCCAGCTTCTCTCCCCAGGCTTATCAGTATTAATTAATTCATTGACTATTTTAAAAACAGTTTTATTGACATTCAGTTTACATAGCATGAAGTTCACACATTTAAAATATACCCCTCAGGGATTTTCAGTATATTTACAGAGTTATACAAACATCACCATAATCTAATTTTAGCGTATTTTCATCTCACTTGTTGTCAGTCCCTGTACCTCATTTGTTCCTCTAACAATTTCCCCCTCCCTCTACCCTAAGCAGTCCCTGATCTGCTTTGTTACTAGATTAGCCTATGTTGGACATTTTATATAAATGGGATCATATGATATGTGATGTTTTGTTAACTGGCTTCTTTTATGTTTTCATAGTTCATCCATATTGTAGCATGTATCAAGACTCAATTCTTTTTTATTGCTGAATAATATTCCACTTAGAAGTTTACTACATTTTGTTTATTCATTCGTCAGTTGGTGGTTGTTTCCACTTTGGGCCTTTTACAAACAATTCTGCTTTGAACATTTATATACCGTGCCTTCATACAGACATATCTTCATTTCTCTTGGGTGTGTACTTAGCAATAGAATTACCAGTAAGTTTTTCAGGAACTGCCCAGCTGTTTTCCCCAGCAACTTACATATTTTATGTTTTTATGCCCAGTGTGTAAGAGTTCCTCAATCCTCACCACATTTGTGATCAACTTTCAGATTATAGCCA